TTAATATTATTAAGCAATTAATAATTAAATAAAAAAATGTCCTATTAACAGAAAAGATATAGATGACCGTTTGATTTTATTGAATATGATCTCGAAAAATGTTATATTCAGAATGTTAATTTATTTAAAAAACATTTTTTTGAATAATATTAATTTTTCTTTTAAAAGAATTCAAAATGAAATAAATTTATTATTAAAATATAGCATATGCAGAAATTGCCAAGGGCAAAGATAAATTGAAAATAATAAATATTTTTTTAAATAAAATTTTAATTTTTAAACAAAAACTAGATTAGTAAGTATACATATACATAGTCAATTTTCAAATTTTACTTTCTCGAAAACGGAATCTAATTCTACAAAAATGTTTCATTTTCAATTTATTCTTCCATAAAGTATCGTGCTCTATTCATTAATAATATATTTTCTATAATAATATATCGAAAACTGAAAATATTCCTTAATTAAAAGTAATAGATCGAGTTAAGGTTGCTTTAAGTTGTAGCCGTAACATTTAGCTGGTAAGCTTTATCCAAGATTTGACTATGACACCAATAGGGAAGAGATCTGATTACATAGTTAATGGTCACTATTTCATTGTGAAACATTAAATGTTCATAATGTTGTATTGATAAAGAAAAGAAACAGAAATATAAAAGAATAATTATTATTTTATTACTGAAGCCTTTTTGTAATTAATTTACGATCTTTAAAAGAGTTATAAAGAGATTATATAAAAAATTGTTAATGCGATTATACAAAACATATGCGTTTTATAATAAATAATACAGTATAATAGTATAACATTTTGTCCTATTTCAAATAAAAATTGTTTTAATTATGACGGGAAATTGACTTTATATTAAATTCAAAATATGCAGAAAAAATTGTAAGAATTGAAGGAATAATATGAAAATAAGAAGTCAATTTAACTGTTAGCACATATGTAGTTCCAAAAGTTATAAGTCATAAGAGATAGAAAGTAATAAAATTTCTAAAGTTATAAAATCACTATTTTTAAATGTTTCAATTAACAGTTATTAATCAAACAGTTATTATTAAACATGATTCACAATCAACTCGTCCAAATCGAAAAGGAATCTATCTTTTCTCATAAGAATGATCATTATTCATTTCAAAACACGTAGAAAGCATTCGATCGAAATTAAATTTGAAGTAAATTTTTTCTAAGAAAAGAGATATTACTTATGTAATTAAAACAATTTTATTATAACATTGGGAATTTCATTTGTGACGTTGAATAAATAATACTGAAATAGTGACTCATTGCTTTAAAATGAAAAATCAGTTTCTAGTCTGTTGACTACTTTTAGTTTGATGTATTGTTTTTTGTTTTACCTCATCTGAAATTAATCATTCCTAATGATATTCCATTTATCATAATGTATTTTTCATATAATAATATACCATCTAAGAATCACTACTGTAAAATAGTTCTATAATTCTAAATAAATGTTTGCAGAGTGGTAAACTTGTGATACTGAAGCTACTGATATATAATTTCTATATTGACATTTATTTTTATATAATTATATAGTTATATAATTTTGGAAATAAAACATGAATTTATTATTAAGTTCAAAAAATTAATTAATATTTAATATAAATGTTCTTACTACAGTTTTAATTCGCTGTATATATAAATTGTAATGAAAATAAATATAACAGAATACTTATACAAAAATTATATTTAGAATGTTAGTGCAAGTAATAAAATACTTATGTAGTAATAATAAAAAAATTTAATGAAAAAAAAACTTGACACGAGAAAGCACTTTATCGGAAAATAATTTTATAAGTTATGTAACAAGCATCTTATAATCTACATTCTTAACTAAAAATGTTACTAGGAAGTAACTACTTTAACATTAAATATTTTATAAATGATTAATCATTATCTCGTAATCATTAAACTATCAATATTACAAATCCTATCACAGTGTAAAACTTTACTTAAAAGTCAGCCTTATATTGGGACCTTCTTTATAAAGAATTTGATTGCTCACTCAAATCAATATTAAATAGTGGAGATACATCTTAAATTAGTAAACCTGTTTATAGATTACTTCAAATTAATATTTTTTTTAGTTTTTTTCGAATATTTAGATAACATAACAAAATTTTTTAGATAACATAACAAAATTCTAATTATCCTTTAACTAAATAAATTAAATTTTGACATACATTTTATAACATTTACATAAAATAAAATATTCTAATTACTCTTCATCCGTGCAATTATTTACAACAGTATTACTTTAATTACATGAAAATCATAAAAATATATACATATATATATATGAGAGTACTTTCCATTAATTTTAGTGCTATTAAACTATAGAGGCTATTTTACAAATTATAAATTAAAATAAAAAAATATCAATAGTAAAAAAAAAACAATTTATGTAATTCTTTGGAAAGCTACTCAAACATTAACATTAATTTTAGGTACTAACAAATAAAATCATAAAAAATATGTATTTTCCAATATTAAAACTAATTTTAAAGTGTCACAGGATGTCTCAACATCGACAATCGGAGAAGAGATGATTCTACATAAGTTGGAAAGAAAGAATAAAATTTTTTCATATGAGATTTCGTTTTTGAGAAAACTAAATTCGAAAATTTATCAAGTACGTATATCAAGGCAATTTTTTGAAACATGTTCAAAGTCTATTTTTTTTTTTAAATAAAGCTTTAAATGAAAAAATTTTATTTCACAGTTTTTATCTATTTCGGTACGCAGACTAATTTTCTGTCATTTATATTTTTTTCTGTTACGTTTAGAATTAGTCAAATTCCTGTATGTTCGATAAATTTTCAAACACGACTTTCTCCAAACAAAATATCTTACAAAAAAATTTTATTCTGTATTTTCGATTTTCATGTTGAAAGTAACGAATCAACCGATCCTCGCTTATACGATGAAAAGACCTCTTAATAACAGATTTATCTGGAAACACTTTCTAGTAAGCAAGTAATATTTAACATAATAGACTGTAGATAAAATATTTGATGCAAATATTAAATTTTTATTAAAATTATTAAAAATTATTAAAAACTCACTTGTGGTCTTTTATGATATTGAATTTTATGTTATTTCCTTATTTTTTATTACAAATTTATTTTAAATAAACATTATCACATTTATAGAAATAAAAGCTTATAACATTTTATATACAAAATACTGATTTATTTCAAATTTTGAAATAATTTTCTTTCTTTTGAAAGCAAAATTTTCAAATAAAAATTTACTTTCATTATGTAATATATGTCTTTATATCATGTCATTTTAAGACAAAAAAGATAATTTATATTACTCTCACAAAATTCCAATGTTTCCAAATAAATTAGATATATTTTTTACAGTATAAGCGCAAATGGAGATATAATATATACAGGGTATAATTCACATAAAAAATAATTTAAAAATAATGAAATTAGTTCAAAGAAACGCATATTCAACTTAAATTTCTATTCTGAAATTAAAAACAATCTTATATTTTAAAAAATATGTCTATTATTTTTACAAGATATTTAAAATAAATATGTTACAGCTCGATATAATGCGCATCTTATAGATGCATAATTCTTAGCTTTTTTGTTTTGTCAACTTCGTCATACTATATTCAATTAATTTATTATATTAAAAGTATTTTTAGAACAGTTACGAAGATTATACATATTTAAATTAAAAACTGTAAATTTCGTTATTATTATTGCGATATTCTATAACTCGAAAACAGTATCAAATCAAATATACGTATGAATTTATTTCATTATTGCATTATACTGAATTGATTCTAAAATGATTTCATTGTATATATATTTAAAAATATATAAAAACATTAAGTGTTTTAAAGGAATAACAATATTTTTATAAAATATATATTGTACTGTGAAATATTCACATGTATTTAAAAACTATGAAAAAGCTACGAAACAAAATTATGTTCAGTAATATATACACGCATAAACACGCACACACACACATACACATACATGGATACATACATATGTATATATGTATGTATATATGTGTGTGTATATATATATATATATATATATATCATGTTGGGGAAGCTTTTTAAATATAATAAACAATTTTTTATATTTTATACATTATGCAAACAAGGTATTTAAATGTTGTAAGTATAAAATAACATCCCCCAAAAGAAAGATATAAATTTGTTAGTGAAAATTTAAAAAGTTTTTACAAATAATTTATATAATTATTTAAAAATTAATATTGCCTTATTATCTCAATATTATATTTTGTTCATTATTACATTAGAAGCTAATTAATGCAAAATGTAATAAATTGTTGATAAAAACTAAACTATTCTATTACAAAACAGAAGATAAAAAGATAAAGATTTATTTGAAAAAAAATGTATGAGAAATTTTGTCCAAAATTCAATATGACAATTCAATAAATTGTTCTACCAATGAATCTTGTTAAATGAAGGTCATAATTTTTCATGATTTCTCAGTATATCAAGTATCCAGTATAATTAGAAATTTGATTTTATTTATAAAACAAGAAAGCAAAACTTTACTTATAACTCTACTAGTAACTACTTCACTACTAATTCTGTATAATAATAATGAAGTATAATAATGAAGAAAATATAATATTTTATCTTAAACTTTTAATGAAATTAATATTTTCTTTATATATATATATACATGAAAAGTATATGAGAATAGTGTTATCGCTTTTTTAATAAATGTTTCATGTATCATAAAAAGCTTTTGTATACAAGATAATTAGTATATACATATGCACTAAAAAAGAAAATTTGCTGAAATTCGCAATATTATTCGGGATTGAAATATGAGAAAAATTAAAATAATACACGAAATAAAAATTAGGAAATACTATGTACATTTATAAAGTACATTCATAAATCAAACACAAAAACATACAATGTTTTATATTGTACTTTAAAATTATTACTATAATTTATTAATCAGGCAAACAAAAATTCATATTGCCATAGAAAATGTACTTTAATTTTTTTGTTTTATTTTCTTTTTGTGTTTTAAAGACAAAAGAAAAGAAGACGGGAATTTTTTTCCACATTTCACTCTATTTCATAATAATTATATGGAATAATATTGCAATATTAGCGCTTTGTTTTTTACTTCATATGCATATATGTATACACATACGCACATATACAAAACGTACACAAAGTATATACATCTAATGAAAGAGAAAAAAGCAGAAATAGGAAATAGGAATGCAGCGTCTTAGCGAGAGAGAATCGATGGTACATTTCAAATTATTCAAATTATTCAATTAAATTAATATTCTAAATAATTGAACTTTTGTACTGCTTTCATATAGACTACATACATTCTATAAAAAAATTTATTGATAATTATTTAACAAAATTATCACAGCTTTAAGCAAAATCTAATGTGCAACGTATATAACTGTATATAAAAGAAATGTGCAACCAATATCTGCACACTTGGTAAATAGCATCACAAAATAATATTCTCTTACATAAAATTCAAATGTATGCTATATTATAAAATTATTTGCAACCAATCCTACAAAACACTGATAATAATTATCTATTGTTTGTTAACTGATTTTAAATAATATAAATATATTTAAAATCAAATTATTAATATTCTTACTTTCTATTTTTGGTTTCGATTTCCATGTGAAGCATTCAATTCATAATTTACGATGAATTTAATATTCTATACACATCGTTTCCTCCTCGCATATTTTATGCGCACATATGAACATTTCTAACAAACAACTGGTGTGTATTAGAAATCATCAATGCCACCATCAGGGACACCAGAACGTACTTTATCCAATACTTTATTGACAAATTCAGTCGAATGATTTGCTATTCGTATCTCTGTAACATAAGGACAAAAAACATGAAATATAAATCAATCTTTTCTGAAATAGTTAGTATGTAGAATTCGAATCGTATGTGAAATACTTTAAATAATTAAATAACTTTCAAATTTGTTTAAAGAACATCAAAAAATCTACGGAAATTAATTGTTGTAATTAATGTATATAAACTAAATAAGTTATAAGTATTTTATTAGAAACCTTAAAGAAACTTACTAACTATAATTTAGAAATTATTATTACATTCACAAAAATTAACATGAAAAATGATATATCAAGGATATAATTTATCAAGGATATCATTAGATATGCAATTATTAAATAAATCATAAAATAAAATACAAAATGAAAAATATAAGCAATAAAAATAATATTCTATCTCTCTTAATGAAAATTCAATATAACTAAATTTAAAAAATGTTAGTAAAATAAAATAACAAATATTATACATTTACATAATTATGCATATTCAACATGATGTACACAATGTGTATCAAATTATACAATTTTTATATAAAAATTTTAAAAATACTAACTGGTAGCCAATTTACAGTATTTTTCCATTTGACGCGTTAACTCTTCTTGATTTTCAGGATTAGGTTCTGTTAGTTTCGCAGCAAGAGTTTGCTTAGCCTGGCATATACCTTGAATTAAACGTTCTGCAACAATAATTATTCATATATTAAATTACTGTTTCTATTTTTAGAAAGTTGTCGCTACAATTCATCAAATATTTTTAAATTATATATAAAATTTTCTAATATTTCATTTTTTGTTGTTATACCTGTAATATTAAAATAAAATATTGAAATTAGAAAAAAAAAAGGTTTTATATATTATTACTTTTACTATAAAAGTGTATGTATATTTATTACAATAATGTATAAATTATTTCAAAAATCATTCTAAGTAATCAATTTCAACATAGTTCCGTTAATAATCATCTTGTACATTAATTTTAATTTTATAATTTAATATACGTTTGAAGTTAAAGAATGAAATATGCTTTAGTGCTTTATAATGATATTAGATAAATTTAATTATCCTAATTTATTTCATCTTAAAAATTTTCTGTCTTATTTAATTTTTTTAAAAAAAAGTTGAATTTGAGTTAAACTGGCTGGTTTATATATGATCATAATTGCAAATACTCAACTGTGTTCCTGTTCTAAGCCATGTAGTTTTATTTTATTTGCTTCATGTTGAGCCTTTTTCTTTAGACGGCATGCTCTTGATGCAAGTTTGTTTTTTTCTTTACGTGTTTTGGGCCTTGCTGTAAATGGTAACTCAGAAACTGGCGTCATATCATTAATAATACGAGATAATTTATCCAATTCACGACCAATACTATACAATTTTCGTGGATTTGGAGTAAGATCGTTTCCATCGCCTTTTCGAGCTTTTCCACTGTGTTTAATTCCACGAAGGGCACAATGAGGGCTAAAAACAGGATCCGTGGCTTCATTTAAAATATGTGGATCTTCAAGACGCGTTCTTGCAACAAGCCTTTGTCCTTTTGGCCCTTTTGCTTGAACATTATATTGCCAAAAATATCGTTCTTTTTTAATATGTTTATTATCTCGATTTGAATCCACACTTCCACTTCCCATTCTACTTCCAGTATTTTGATCTTCACCATCACTACCACCTGTATCTACAAATAATATGAGTTTAATTGTATTATATGAAAGTACATGAAATTTAATTAAGACATTATAAATAATAGCATGCATTATAAATAATAGCATGATTTATAAACATTAAAGTACCGTTATCACTACTATAATCATCATAGTGGTCACTATCATCATCACTATCTTCATAACCTTCATCGTGACTAGGGGGATCAATATGATAAAGTGGATCTGGGCTAAGTGCACCCCCAGTACTTAAACTACTTGTTGAACCAGCTTCAACAACACCAAGGCTCCCAGTACTTAATAAATGTGGACGTGGTTCTCTACGAGCCCAAATTTGGTCTAGTGCCATTGTTCGAGTTGGTGCAGACATAGATAGTCTAGAAACTTTTGACTTATTATTTGCACATCCAACATCCATCTGACCATGAATAGAATTATCAAAAGAATTTTCACATCGTCTCATTAACAATTCATGAAGAGCAGACTGTCCATTAGGTTTATTTGTAGGCTGTAGAGATGTTGAAGAACTTGCAGTTGAACTACCTTTAAAACAATTATTTAAAACATTATTTTTAGCTTAAAAATATCTTATTTGTTTCAACAAACATTAAAATAATATATATACCCTCAAACACAATTTTTTAATTATTAGAGTCTTAAAATCTTTAAAATATTTTAAATACATTACAGTTATAATAATAGCTATAATAATTTATACAATAGTTATAATCTGTATAATTTTGAACTTTACATTTTTTTTTTATTATAAAACGTAAGTAATTTTGTTAGTTATAACTTTATATGTGTCAAATAAAACTACGTTAATACCAAATTTATTATGAAATTATTAAAATTATAAAAAACATAAGTTACATATAAACCTGCAATGTTACTGGCTCCTGGACTTGGAAAAGCATTAGGACTAATTGTCTCCAAATTGTCAGTAACATTGATATTTATATTCAAATTGAATCCATGTGCATTTATATACGTAGGACAAATATTACGATATGTTGATCCAGATTGTGGAAAACTACTTGGAGCAAATGCAACATTGTTATCGTTAAACAACGGTCCAACCGATTGAACTACGTTAGCATCCGTTTTAAACGGTTGAACTCTCTCTTCTGGCAAAAGTAAGTCGTCAAAATTTAAATCTCCAAGAAGAGTATCATCATTTGCATTTAATTCAGCAAGTGTAGGTCCTTGAATAAGATCTGCTTTATCCACTTGTAGTATGTCATCATCTTCCCACTTTTCTGTTTTAAAAAAATCATCTAACTGATCAGCATCTGCTTTAAATGATGATTCTATGTGGTCTGATCTATTTGGCCACATTGATGTTAATGGCGATGGTGAAAATTGTTCATATACACCCCTGGTACTTCTGTGTCCTCCTGGTATTGGTACTGAAGCTGATGAAGGACCCATTTCTTGATTTGGTTCTTGTTTTATTATTCTATCCATTGAGTTAGTTTTATTTCCGAGAATAGTTCAATGTACTCAGATTCTCCTGTTGATAAGTCTTAATATCAATAAACGAAAAACTAAAATTTTATTGAAATACGAGAATTTACTGAGATATTTATTTTGAAAGATAAATTATAAATTTATTATATTAAATAATATAAATAATTTTAATTATTTAATATACGATCAAAGAATCTTACCAGTTTGCTTTTCTTCTAAATAGTTTAGTCTATGTGAAGTTTTAAAATCTTAAATATTTAAATAAAATTCATTTGATGATTAAATTTAATTTGGATAATTCCAAACGGGAAAATATATTAGAATCCGTATATGCTTACGGATTCACTTTATAGTTCATATAAATAATAAAGTTTAATATGAGGATTCATTGGTTTGCATACTTTGAACATCAATAACAATCCTTAATGTACAGGATTACATAGTATATTCACCACCCTCAAACTAAACGACCATGACTTTCGTCAGCAAAATATTTTTCCTAGCCAACAACATTGACTCAAAAAATATTCTGATCTTGATGTTGTAGTAATTTAACCTTTCCCCAGGTTTAACAAAAACTGTTACAGACAAAAAAATATATACTGCTGTTTATTCTTGTACCACCCTTCTTAGTTATGCACTAAAAATTCATACGATTCAATACACGTAAAATACAGTTTGTTATTGTTTTGCCACAAGATTTCGAGACAGTATCACTGATATTAACATAAATAGGGAACGATCACATGACAAAAGTCGAGTATTCAACCAATGAAAACGTTCCACCAATCACAAATAGATCTTTAAGTCGTCAATCATTTATGATTTGCGAATATAATGCTGATTAATGTTGATGCTTAAGTAAAAAATTTATTAAAGTAGCCAGAAAAATATGCCTAATATTATAAAATCAACAAGTAGAAAAGATAACAAATAGAAAAAGAAATGCAGTGTTTATGTTTGTAAAAATTAATACCAATAATGAAAATATCAAATGAAGAATAATAAAGAAAGCAATAATGGTCAAATCGAAAATAAAAAATATTCATTGTTCATAACCTGTTAAAGTAATATCATTGAATAAAGTGCTTTATGATGTCCAATACAAAAAGCAGAACAGAAATATTATATAACAATATTTTTTCTCAATCAGACATAATGAAAAAATGTAGACATTAATAAAGATATATTTTTTTATAAATTTTACTTTTCGGATTTAGAAAAAAGTATTTACAATTAATTAATCCAATTTTGAAATATACATATTTTATAAAATTTACATTAGTTTGAATACATGTTAACTACAAATGTTCGAAATATTTCAAGTTACTAACAATAAGTTCCGTACATAGACATATGTATATACATTATAAAAATATTAGAAACATAAATAATATTATATCACCTGAATCATTTTTTTAGATATTCATAAGAAAATAATATATTAATATCAGTAATATACAATACATAATAGATTAAAAATACATTATTATTTTCAATAACTATTTATATTTCATCAAAATTTTCATATGTTAAAAATGCTATGTGTATATACTTTAAAAAGTAATAAATTTTCTTTTAATTCAGAAAAAAATGTATATCCACATATATTATATATTATGTGTAGAATATTTTTTTATTTGTAGAATATTATATTGTATATAAAATAAATAAAAACAGAAACAATATTTGTAAATAAGCAAAATTATTTTCAGATTTATATTGGTGCAAAATATAATATTTAATTGTCCTTCTAGATTCTGAATATTGAAGACAGTCGGAACTCATTATCAGAACTATAGACTATAGACTATAGCTATTTTATTGTTCTTATTCATATGTATTTGCAAGTTTTGTTAGAACGCCGTACTTAGTGACATTTAATACTGACATTTGTTTACTTTCAAAGATCGAATAATTATTAATGTAAAAATATAAGACTATACGGTAAAGATTATAGTATGCGTATATATAATTTGGATAACCTAATACGTTTTTGTAGAAAAACATTATATTTGTTATGATTCAAATATGGCTGGTGACAAAGTAATCGGTAGTTCTTCACATATGAGCAAGGAAAAAGTACATAAAGAAGGTACTTATAATGAAAATTTAAATTTAGAAGATGAATTTGCAGAACCAGTTGAATATGTACCCTGCCCTGAATTTCATTTTTCGGTAAGTCTGTTAAATAATAAATAGAATTATTTTTTTTCTTCAATTTGAGAATTAACATATATTAAAACAAATTATTTTTTTTTTCAATTTGAGAATTAACATATATAATCAACATGTATTAAGACAAATCACTTTGTGTAAATGATGTTTATTGAATTTTATTTCAGGAATATTTGACATTTACATATATTGTAGTAACTATTTGTTTAAACAACTTTTTTTTATACCTTTTATAAATTTTTAAATGTAAAATGTTTGCTTCAGACAAATCATTTTCTTTTTCTTGCAAAATGTAGCTTTATTTTCTAAAAGTATAATACATATTATTGTGCTAGAACTAATTATTTGAAAAAATATCGCATATTAAATGTTTGTACATTTTCAAAGGTTAACACTATTATCTTCATGTTTATACATTAGAGATTAATTTTGAAATATCATTAATATTTCTGATTTTCTTTAAACTGATCATTTTATCCGATTTAAAAATATTAAGTTTCCATTTGTGAATAATTAATATTCCAAAAATGTTGTTATTGTATGAAATTGTTTGTTACAGATTATTATTGAAATTTCAAACTATTGTTGAATTATTTAATATAATCAAACTATTTATGAATTAACATGTTTGTCACTAGTTGTAATACTGCTCTAACTTGCTATATTTATTGCCTAATGTGTTCTGATGATTCTAGAGTTATTAATATTGTTAATTTGACATTGGAAAAATAATTACTTATTCATAGCTTAATGTAAGGTGAGTGTGCAGTGTAAAATTAATTTCTGCAGTTTTTTGTTCTTAATTTCTGTACTTTTTGCAAGTTTTATTTCACAGATGTTTTGCTTTAGTCCTGAGGATAGTTTTTTCTACAATTATTTTCTTGTCTTGTTTTTAAATGAGCAAGATAATTTAATAGTTTACATTGAATATTATGAATTCTTACAACTTACTGGATGTTGGAATGATATTTTCTGAAATTAAATTATTGCTCTATTATGATATTATATATTAATCTAGATAATGAAGTGGAAATTTTAAAATACATTTTTTTGAGTATTTTACCTAGAATAAATAACAATTGATACATAACTAGTCAATAGATTTAGTAGATCTAATTTGTTCAGTTGTTGGATAGGAAATATTTTAGCTATCTTCTATGAAGAGAAAAGAAACATATGTCGATAAATGCAGCTATTCTGGAAATAATTTTGATGTAATTGTAATCTCTATTTTGTCTTTTATGTCTCATATGAATTTGGCTGTGTTCTGAGAATATAGTGAATTCTTCTTCTATACTAAATTGGTATCCACTTGGACAAAGGAATGTATTTGTCAATTTTTTGCTTAAGAAAGGATAAGTTAGTAGTGTTTAAATGAGCGAAGGCAAAGAAGTTTCTTAAGCTTATCAAGTTCATTTGATATTATAAAGTTTTCATTAATTAGAGGAAGAAAAGGAAGTAAGCGATTGTGTCTTGCTGTGGCTTCAAAGATTATCCGAAACGTAGCATTTGATTTTTTAAAGAATTTAAATAAATTATTCCGTAGAGCAGATATATTTTTTTTTTTTATCTATGAGATTGTCTAGATCTCTTCCTTCACATTTTTTCACTCTCTAAACAAACTTCCTTCTGTTTCTTGTTGTTCTTATAAGCGAGTCCAAATTGTTTAATAAAGAACAGTCTTTCTTTCTACTTACGCGTATGGAGGAAAATGATACTGTCTGTGTTTGCATATTAGAAAGAAGCTGATTATATATTTTAATTTTGTTGTTTACCTTGTTATTATTACGTTATAATTACGTTATTATTTTACAATAATCAGTCAGTTTTGTTTTCAATTTGTTTAATCAGGAGTGGATTTAATCACAGCTTTGCAGATTTTAAAAGGCAATCCTATGATAGATACAGAAATTATCAGATGTAATACAATAAAAGTTTAGAAAACTGTTTGAGATGAAAAAGTTGATTGTGAGATAAAAAAAGGTGGATTTCTGTAAAGAATGACATGAATAGAAGTAGATGGAAAGATTATATTATAGTTATTGATTGAATAATGATTAAAAAGAGCCTTAAATGATTTATTAATTGTAACATTGTATCCCGTCCTATCAGAAATTTTAATTTAATTTAATTTTAACATCTTAATTTAATGAGTTTTAAAAACATTAATAAGAATATTATTAAAATATTAATGAGACTTTTGCACAATACATTATGTAATATGATATGATCTTTATTCATCAGAATGAAACAACATTTTGAAAGGATGGAGGGGAGGAGGAGAGAACCCCGAACATAAAATTTTAATTTAACAGGTCTTTATTAATTTCTGAAGTGTTAATAAGAAACTTTGATTACAATATATTAAATTCTGCCTCAGATATGACTAATCAACGATTAACGCTGTATTAATCATTGTCGAGAAATTGTTTATGTAATAGCGATATCGACCTCGGTACCTATAGACTGTCCCACATAAAATTTATTCTATTTCTGTTTTTCATGAATTCAAATTGGGCAAATTATTATTTGCAGCATAATGTTAAAAAAAAATAATTATGTTTTATTAAGTAAAAGAAATAGAATATTTACGACACCTGAAATTTAAGTTAACAAAACTCTTTCAAAACAATCAGTACATATTGATCGTATTACTAAAAAACCGTTATTATCATTAGCAAAAAAAGAAGATACCAATGAAAACTTGGTTACAAGGATTTTTCAGTGAAAGATTGAAGAAGAGTCTGGAGAGATAAATCCAAATTTTAGTTATTCGGAGCAAATCATAAAATTAAAATTAGTTCATCGATCAGTACCAGAAAAATTAGTTCATAATTATTTAGTCCCAACTATTAAACATGAAAGCGGCTCTATTATAGTTATTTTTCTCTGGATTTGAGCAAAGTGATTCGGTTCAAATTAATGGCAGAATGAATAAAGAAGATTGTAAAAAAATTTTAGAACGTGCTATTCTATCTGATCTAATTAGTAATAAATTGATTATGCAATAAGATAATCATTCCAAGTATTTTTTTAAATTATACAGAAGTTATTTAGAAGAAAAAGAAAATTAAACAATTTTAATAAATATGAATTGGCCTCAATCACTAGATCTTGATCCGATTGAATTGTAAAATGAACTAGACAAGTTCGAAAAAGCTTGAGAATGAACGATAAGTTCGAGACCTTGAGAAAATAGCTTATAGAAATATTACAATACTGTTGGAACAATATGCCTTTCGAAAATGCCTCACCTGTATAACTGTGTATGTAAATAAATGTTGAAGATTGTTCCTGAGTTTGAGACTTTCAAGTGAAAACTAAATACAGGAGGAATTATTTCTCAATATTGTAGTTAATTTCATTAAGAATTGGAAGATGCATTGACACTGATGTACATACGGATATACATTTTATATAAAATACATGCATTGTGTTATTTTTGAGATCCGAATAATCATATTTCCGGATCAGTGATCCGATTAATTTTTTCTTAATTGGTCAGCTGATAAATTGAAATATGGAAAAAGAATGCTTCAGATTGAATTAAGTGAGTAACTTGAGTTTCAGCTGATATTACTATCATTTTTTATTATTTTTATTCTGTGTTTTTCTAGAAAAGAATATTCTTCTAAAAAATAGACTCAAATCACAGGATTTATGAAAATAATTTGATTATTAGTAATAAAGAAGAAAAAACAATTATATTGTTGAAGAAACAAAAATTAAGAGATGTAAGCTAAATAATGTTGTAAAAAGTTCTCCTTATAGTTTTTGTCAATATCTTACTTACATATATTTACATTGTATTGCCTTAAATTCTGATTGGTTATATTTAATTCCTGATACTATTTTCTCTACTGTTTTTTTTTTTCTTTTATCAATCCTGTTTTCTTTTTCTTTTCTTTTAACTAAAACTTCATGTTCTGCTATTTTTATATTTTCTTCAAATTTAATTGCCCTTTTATTGGCTATAATCTTTAATTTCTTCTAATCTTAAATTAAAGTGAATGTTATAATTAAATTCATGCGATACTTCCCATAATATAATACTTGAAATTGTTCCAAAAAGGAACAACAATCTGACAATCAAGCGATCTAGATTAGATTTAACTCGTGACTGTCATAGAATTTAGTTTAAGTTAGTAAAATATGTTATTGAAATCAGTTAGAGATGAGCCTTGTGTATCTATATTAGGGATGAGTTTATTGATGTATTTGACGAGGTATTATTTTTGAGATGGCGGTTGCATATGAAAAAATGGGATGTGTGAATATTGTAAAAAGAAGGATGAAATTATTGTTAAATAACTTGTCTTGATTAAATAACTTGTCTTAGTTTGGTGGAATAAGTGAGAATTGAGTTTGAATTTGAAAAATTTCAAAAAGAAAAGACATATTCATTTTTCCACCGATTACATGATATAGAAAAGCAAACAAAACAAAAAATTTTAGTTGATTCTGAAAATAGAATCTTTAGTTTTTAAAATGATCCCGAAGAAAATGTTACATGACTTTATTATAATTACAGAAGATAAAAACTTTCTCATTTCATGGAATAGCGCGATATAACAGATAATCATAGATGAACAGAATATAGTAAATATTTCCAAATCTATTTCTATAAAGGCTATAATTGGTAATTATAATTTATAATTAAATAAACGTCAATTAAAACACTTGTGACAGAAGTTAAACAATATATCTTTTTTGTTCTATATAATCACTTTTAACAAAATGTAAATATTTGTAGTTTTTATATAGTTTTATATATTTGAAATCCTTTAGAGGCCTATTCAACTGGTAATTCACGAGCCACCGTGACTCGTGCCTCTCCATACTTACTTTTCTCCGTCGTTTCTTTCCCTTCTGGATAACTCACAGGCCCCACCACATCACACGAACTTCACCATCGCACTTCAATTTGATTATTGTGTACCATTCTACAATCGCATTTCATATGTATTGGTTTTACCTATTATACATGTAGTAGCTAGTCTACACGTGGTGACAGGTTCGATTAAAAGAGAGTGGGGCTTGCATAGCGCCTAGAAAAAAAAGGAAGAAGGGGAAATGTGAACTCGCGGAAGGAAAGAAATTGGACAAGCTTGTCTTACAATTAGATATAACTGCGTGGCATCTGTGAGGCATTGATTCGGTTAATCGAATACAATAGTCGTTTGGTACTTCAGTCCATATTTTTCCATTAATTCCGTTTTATTTGTGAAAAAACTTTAATAATTGAATTGATCACTAACAATTTTCCTAATTTAGAAGAATGTTCAGGGTCGTTATCGTTTTGAAATAGCCATCTCGTTGACATTTTTCCTTTTAAAATCATACGACATACGAAAATATTACAATATACAATTCTATTCAATGTTTCTTCTATTTGTGTACCAGTACCATTATGCGAGGAACAAACCCATATTGTTACATTTCCATTATATTGTTTTATTACCATTGTTGATTTCAAATATTTAGAATTAAATCATTGACCAACAGAATGTCGTATGTTGTTCCTAAAGTCATTTCCAAATAAGTTAAATTTACACTCGTTATTACATAATACTTTCGACCACTCGATGTACTTTTTAGCGAACTCTAAGTGGGCTTTTCGATTCTTTTTAGAAACAAGTTTCTTCACATGCTCTGCGTGAAAGGAAATTACTCTTGTTTAAACGTCAACAAACTATTCTACTACTAATGTTATGCTACTAATGTGTTTTTTAAGATTTTAAGATTTCAGAAAAACTTAAATTTTTGAATATCAATGTCATTTCAAAGTCATGTTCTTTACATATCTAAGCGTATTTTTTATCAGCTACACGATACAATAAAAAATATATATATATAATTGCATGGAAAAAACCATCAATGACCTTGAAAATTCTGAAAAAAATATTTTTATCAATTTATTGGTCTTCCGATATTATTCATGTTGGGCAAAAAATATTTTTTTGCATCATTGCAATTCGAAAAGATACTTAGGTGGTTTCACTTAAATGGATCATCCTGTATATTATGTACGTATGAAAAATGTGTAGTTGAAATTATAATATATAAAACTTGTACTTACTGTGCAAGTATACTTATATTTTCACGTACACAAAGTATATTTATCTTTACTAAGAGAAACTTAATTGGTATAAAAAGATTTTTTTTCTGCAGATTTACTTTTTTTTTATAAATGCAACGAAAATATAAATTGAAAATACAAATTTTGAAAATACAAATGCAACTTTTCTTTAAATAGAACTATATATTCTTCTAACTCGACATATTCGCTATAATAAAGTACTATCTATGTATGTTGAAAAATTATTGATTTAGAAGAGATATTTTAACTTTAATTTTATAAAATATACAAGGACATAGTTTTGTCTTTTCTCGTTTTTTCTACAATAGATTTTATAAAATTAAAGTTAAAGTATCTATCATTACTAAGCTATTTTTTTTTATCTTTTGTCAGCAAGTGTATACTTTATCTTGCTAATTTTTTTATTGACATTAAAGAAAGTAAAAAACTAATACCTTTTATAATTTGTAAAAATAATAAATATTTCCTTAACTATTGATCATTTACATTACAAATGTGATTTCAGTAGTTTAAAATGTTTTTATAATTAATTAATAATATTATAATTATATTAATAATATTAATATATTATACATTCCACATTACAAAGTAATTATAGGATGTACAGTAGACTGTCGATTATCCGAACTACATAATTGGGAGACAATCTCGTTCAGATAAGCGGTTTTTTGAATAATAAGTCTGAACTAAATTCCTGAGCATATTGATAGAAATTAGACAATATCCAAATGTAGATGTTCATGTAAAGATGTCCATCTAAAAGAATACGTTTCTAATAATCATTAGATATTTTAAAAATTCTATTATTGTTTAATTTGATATTTAATTTAAGAACTTTCTTTTGGATAAATAAATCTCATAATAATACACCAATGCTTCATTTTTGCAAGTGATCATTTGCTATTTTCAAACTTCTATGGACATGAAAATATCTATCTAAGTTTCAAGATTTTAATAATTTTGATTCACTATTTTTAATATCGTTAATTATAAATTTTTTCTTAGCTAAATTAAATATATTTCTTTTTTTACACGTTTAATAATATTTAATTTATTTTTTAAATATAATACCATACTTTAGGCAAATATGCATTAAATTCGAAACGAAACACTGAAACGGGGCATTTGAAGCAGGAAAAATACTTGTTCTAAAATATAATCATTGTTAGATATGTTTAATATCTAGTTAGTAAGTTAGTTTAATAGCTAGTAAGTAATATCTAATAGTTTAAATATTTTATTTACGTAATTAGGTAATTGTTTTCGAATAAATTGATCATTCAGATAATCAGATAATCGACATTTTGCTGTATCTCATTCTACATATTGTCTTTGTTTATCTTTGGTTTTGTTATTTACGTTTACGTTTTGTTATTTCTTCCTTCTTTCCTTCATTCATCCTCTTCTTATTGTTCTTTTTGACTTTCTCACACATTCGCATAACTATTCTCACGTATCTTTGTTCGTAAGATCCTCGTTTGTTTTTGTTCGTAAGAGTTTTTCCCGCTTCCAATAATATGTCATCTAATCTAAAAAATCTGAAATCTAATTATTCTAAAAGTTTTAATTATTCTCTTTATCTCTTTGTATCACTATATGTAATCCATGTCTTTCTTAGCCTTTCTAATATATATAATAATATAATATAATAATTCTCAACTTTGTACTCCTTGTTCTGCCAATAATTCTCGTATCTTATTCTTATCCATTGCTTCTTGTCTTTTTCTTTTATTGTTTCCTTACCCCAATATTTTTCTTATAGTCTGAGCAATATTTGAATCTGTTTACTCCGTTCCATGTTTCACTTTTTTCTTCTTCAACCACGTCCTCATTCTTGGAGTTTGCTTCATTGTAGTAATCCAAGTAATTCAAGTATCTTGTAATCTGTATTTAATAGCGATACTGTTTATAATTTCTCACCGTCTTTTTGTTTTTCGTCTTGTGGGTTAGATATATCCTACTTTTCATCTTTCATTTCTTTTCACATTTCATTTAAAACCTCATGTAAGATCGCTTTTTTTCTATAATATGTGTAATATCAAAATACTGGAGTAGGACTGTTGATTATTATTTATTTTAATTATTATATTTACTAACAATTAAATCTCTTTACTTCTTTTTGCAATAATACATTTAACTCTTTGCATTCAGAATAGTAGCTCTGCTATATTGCTTTCGTTAAAATAATTTGGAATGCCAACTGTGTTGGCATTATAAATAATTTATATACACACATTTTTGGAATGAATCGGATAATTGTACTGACATAAATATTATTATATTCAATCATTATTATATTACAGTCTATGAAATGTAATCGTTTTTTGAAAGATACGAATGCAAAGGGTTAATATAATAATTTTTGATATAAAATTGTGTATTGCATGTAGGAATATTTTAATTTACCTATTTGTTTTAGACAATCACTTGTTGTTTCTGCAATGGATATTATGGACCATGTTTTGGAGAACCTGTTTGTCCAACATGTCATGCATTTTTGTTTCCTAATGACATTGGTCTTTTACAAGTTCCTATTTTCAGTGAAGTATGTCATATTACATACATATGTTTTTACTATGCTTACATATTCATAATAAAACTTCATTTATTATGTATAACATATAATTAGATATCATGTAACTAGATGATACAATACCTGATTATTTTATTTGGGTAATCAGAATTTGAAAATAATCAGAATTAATATTTATATTATGTTGCATTTAAATACATAATAGATTACATTTTAGACAAGCCCTACTCTAATTGACCAGTAGTTGTAGAAACAAATTTAGATTCAGAACAAATTGCAATTTTTCTACAACAATAATTGTATAAAACAGTTGCTGCATATCAATCGTATTGTTAGTTATATTGAAAAATAATTTGATGAACTTTGAATAATTTGATGAAAAATGACTTGAACTTATCGAAAGTTCATTCTATTTTGGATTTTGGTTAGATTTTTAAAAATCTTTTTTTATAACTCACACAACGAAAAAAAGTTTTTTTTTTCATAGTTTATATTCAATGATTATATTTTGAATTACTGATTATAGAATATTATTTTTATTATTATTATCTTATTTTTTAATATAATTTATTGCATTATCACCTACTTCTAATATAATTTAGACGAACATTTTTATGACTAATTGAAAATGAAAAGATTCAGTTGTCTGTGTTTTATGTTTTATATGAATAAATGAAGTTTAATGGTACAAAAAAAAAATAATATATGTATGTATACTTAATGTTCTTTTTTTAAAATTTTTACATGTAGAAAACAGATGATGAAGATTCAGGAAATGATGAACCAACAGAACTTTATTACAATCATGAAAGAAGAGCAAGTCAACAACAACAAAATTCTCCACAAAATGCAACTTTAAATGTATCAAATGTAGCAAATATTCCTAGTTTAAATTGTCGCATAGCACAAAATTCTAGTTTAAAGAATGAAAATATTTTAGTTATGCCGAAAGTACATCATAGTATAAATGCAAATAGTTCTAAAAATGCAACAGTTGTAACTCAAAATGTACAGCTTCCATGCAATGTTCATTCTGATAATGTGCAAAATATAGGTAACGGGAACAATGACACTCGTCATGAAGATTGTAAAGAATCCGTTTTCAATTCTGCGTCTGTGGCAGATGGATCGTTACATAACATTGTTCCATTCCAAAGAGTTAAGGAATTGGAAAATCGTCAGCATTATCACTGGAATTATAAAGTACAAAATAATATAGGAGAAATGTCAAAATCGTGTAACCTGTCTGAACGATTAGAAATGTTAACAAATTATAAACATGTCGAGTGTGAATCTATTTCTGAACCAGGATTAATGGAGAGTTTACCGCCTGAAGTATTGTTAGTTGTTTTTTCACATTTGGATGATGTTAGTCTTTGGTCAGCTGCAAATGTTTGCCGTAGATGGTGTGGTTTATTATCAACACATGTAACGTCACAACAATGGCAACAGAATGTTAAATTGCGATGGCCTTTATACAAACCTATTGGGAATGTTAAAAATTGGTATAAAGTTTATGACTTTCTGGCTTCTTCAGCACCTTGTAGAACATGTTTAGCACAAACATGTCTGAGGTCCCGATCGCCAAGAATTCAAGAGAATTCGTGGAGGAAAAATCGATTACACAGTGAACTTAAAAGTTTAAGGATAGATCCTCCTGAGGGTATTGAAGCAACACCTTTGGATCAAATGTGTTGTCATTGGCAAGCTACAATAACTGGACCTGTGGGCAGTCCATACGAAGGAGGTTTATTTTATCTTTATTTGCAAGTACCGTGCAGGTATGTATAGATATGTGCTTTTATTATTGAAAGTGTACGAAAATTTAAAAATTTCGGTCAACTTTCGTCGCAACTTAAAAATATTTGAACACAGAAAAAAAAACATAATTTCTTGACCAAGTCATCTAGATGTTCGTTATGTTATAAAAATATTTTCTTCAGATTTATTTGTGTTTTTCTCAGGTATGAATTTCAAGTTCATTAACTTCACTTTTGAGGTCATTTGAAAGTCATATCATATCTGAATGTATTTTGTCATGAGGTATGCGGTGCAACAATTTAAAAAAATTTTCGTAATCTTGAAAACTTTGAAGAAAACACCTGCAGGATATTGATCACCAAATACCATTTAAATTATCAAATATTTGTTACATTCTTGTAATTAAAAAAAAGATATTAGATTAAAAAAACACTTTCGTTTCCGATATTTAAATAATTATTGTTCAATTTCAATTTTCTAAACTTCTTTTTTCACATTCGTCTTAAATTTTTGCAGTTATCCCTTGTATCCACCAGTCGTAAGATTTCTTACAAAAATACTTCATCCAAATGTTTCTAGACATGGTGATGTTGGTATAGACTCAATACATCATAATTGGTCATTAGCATTGACAATTTCGAAGGTGTTAATCAGTGTTCAAAGCTTACTAACGGACCCATATTGTCAGGTAATTTAAAGAATAATAATATTTTAACAAATATTATATTTATTTATTTTTCACAAAGATTTGTAAATGAATTGTGCGACCATATGTTATGATTTTTAGTATGATATTTAAAAAGTAATATTTAAAACATAGTATTACATTTTAATAATAAATATTAATAAATATAAAATGTGCAGGTCTGTATGGAACCAGAATTGGGTGAAATGTACATGAACGACCGTGAAAAGTTTGATGAAATTGCAAGAGCGTGGACATGGCGATATGCTATGCATGATGTTGTCACTCCACTATGAGCGATTTATAAATATCTTATTTTTTATATGCAAGGCGTCGAAAAAGAGTTCAAAGGGATACTCTATACATTAAAATAAGGAAACTACTTTGATTCAATATTTATACTAAATTAAAATTTTTATAATCTATAAACTTTTTTATCGTTAAAGATGATTATAAAAGTTTCCAGTAGTTGGGATATATGCTATTAATCTTCGCTTTTCTTCAATTTATCTATTTGACGTAAATATTGCAAATTTTTTACTTAATCTAATGTACAATATGCAAAGCTTGTAGCTCTTTCCTTTAGATGATTGCATCAATTTTGCATATAATATTTAATTTTCTACTGCATAATGACAAACTTCGCAAAAAAATTTCTCATTAAAGGATATGTAAGTAGGTAAATAGATCAATTAAGCATATACATATATAAAAATAAATTAAGCATATACATATATAAATATACTTCCAAATATATTTTGGTTTAATAATACTATGTACATCAATCTTGCGTGTATGTAATTAATTAGTATGTATTTTGTAAATTAATGTTAATAGATGATAAAATTAGAAAATAAAGATTCTGTATATCAATATATTTTTTAATATATCATGATATGATATAACCCGGATCATAAGACATGTAATTCCTTACTACTTGCAATAATGTCGCGAATTACACATAATCAATACGAAAATGTTATATTGTTTATAATATTAAAATGTTACATTGTTATAATCAATTTTCGTAGACATTTCTAGTACTCTAATAAAAGATGTTATTAAGTATAATAAGTATGTTATTTTTTAAAGGAAAATTTGCAATTTACATGAAAATATTGTAAAATAAATTTTCAGTTATTTTGTCATTTCCTTTTCAATATTTAGCAAGCACTTGTCATTGATAAGTTAATGATTGAATACTGCATAAACGGACGAAAATCTTATTAATAACATTAATATAATTTTTTATTCATTCAGTATTAATATATACTTGTTATTTACTTTATTATGTTAACGTTGGTACTTTTCGAAAGTTACATAGCCAATATAAAACTACACATACTAAAACTACACTTTTACATACTAAAGTGACGTATGTACATATATATTCTGTCGTATGATATTGAATAAAAACAAGAAACGTTCGAAATTAGTAAGCTCAAATATAATTCTAACCTCATTTTATAAGATACAATTAAATGGTACATATTTCGTTTGTTCATAAACTATGTAATTGGTATTTCACCTCGTTCGTGGCTATCGCTGCATATGACGACATTACTTGGAGACCATGGATAGTAGTGGGGGTAATGACGTCGTAGCTCTCGCTTGCTCCATTCACTGACCGGCCGTCGCCGCGAGTAGTCGTGAGTTTGTCCTGCTTTCTTCTGCACATCGATACCGTTCCAGGATCTAACGGAATATCCCGGAAGCGTGTTTTGGACTTTCATAGTTCTTTCTGTACAGATTTTTTCAATAGATTGTTATAGATTTTTGTTATACATATAAAAGGTATTAACCTCGATCGACGTATTTTAATCAAAGCCTGGAATGTATTTGTGAAAGCTACTTATTCTTTCCATCTTTCTTCCTTTCGTGCTTTGCACTGTGTGCGCGCGCGTACTCGTGTGTATGATTTGTGTACATAATAGTGTTTGTACGGATTCGAGAAGGTCTTTGGACGCGAAAGGATACGATCGATTACAATTCGTGGAAGGAGATATGACTGTCGCCGGAAAGGTAAATTCTTTTAGTAAATGCTTCTGATTTTTGGTTCTTAAAACAATTTGTTTATATATTATTATTTGAAGATTAGAAATTACGATATCAGAATTTGTCATTTACAATTTATGTTGTTTTGTATTTTTAAAGATAACAATTTAGATTAGATCTAGACACAGTAATATAAATTTTTGTTGATTAAAAATACTTTAAAATAAGATAAAATAATTTATCTTTAAAATAAGATAAAATAATTTATCATTTTTGATATATACTATAATAATACAGTATATAATAAACAGTAAGTAATATTAAAAGATGAAAGAAAACTGTTTCTATATTTATTTTATTGATGAATTATTGATGTGTAAAGTATAAATTTATTTTAAAATTAATCACTTTACTTGCTTATTCTTTTAACAACTTTCATTTGGAATATATATACTATATCATTGTATAATATTACCATATATAAATAAAGTGACTGAATTTTCTCTAAAATGAAAAGAGATATGAAAAAGTCGTTTGAACGAAAGATGTTTTATTTCAGGAAAATATTTTAATGTATATAATGTCATAGTTTCTGAGATTTCAAAATCACTCCCATTTTTTTAAATAGAATGATTTATTTTTTGACCCATTAATTGTTTGGGTATATAAACAAATATTAACCTATCCATGTTAAAAAACACTAATATATATTATAATTTAATAGATATTAACAAATTATAACTTTAATTTTATGAAATTTACTGCATGAATAATGAGGACAATATGAACATGAGAATATCTTGTTTATCGTATGACAGATTTTACAAAATTAAAGTTAAAATTAAATATATAATAATTTTTCGTTATATATAAATTAATGCGGTTTTACAGAAAATGTCAATCGCTGCCTTAAAAATATATGATTCCATTTAAAAAAGTAGACCTCAAGAGTTGACCTTGAAATTACCCAGATATCTTCATATATACACCAAAATATTTTCTCTCTGACAATGAAACAGAACATCTTCCGCGTTCGAATGATTTTTTATTTTTTTTTTTTTCCACTTTGGAGAAAACTCAATCAGCTAAAGAGAATTGTTGCACACAAATGTGTCTATTTGAATTATCGTCACGTAAAAAATACTATAAATAACAGATATAAAAGGTACTATCCCTCATTCTTTTTAATTTAATTTATTTTTTAACATCTAATAAATTAAGACAGTGATGAAAGATTAATAAAATAATATTAATAATATAATAAACAATGCAATAAAAAGATAGACAGTTAAATTGCAGTTTTTTAGCTAACAGTAAATAAACTAAATTTCTATTCAATTGCGTATATAATCTACTCTCAGGTGTTTAGGTATTTAATTTACTTATTTCATGTACATTTTATGAGATTTAAATTAACACAGAGGACAGATGAGTTAAGCACTGCATTAAGGAAATTAAAATTTTTATAATTTTTATGATGTATAAACAATTGATTACATTAAAATCAATTTGAATTATATCGGTACCTGTATAGGTCAGTGAATTCACGAACGAACCTTTCTCTCAATTTCACTCACATTTGATCTCTCGTACACTGATTATGAACGAAACAGAAACGAAACGAATTTCAATACTCATTTTACATATCAATATTTCACGTTTATTATACAGGGTATCGCAATTTAAATATCAAAATTTTGGGGGCGTGTAGAAAACTAATAAACTGAGAAAAAAATGTTTTAATTTTCTCATTTATTCAGCAAATTTATTCGATTCCAACTAAAAAAAAAAAAAGAAAACCAAAGAAAGACCACTGAGAGATCAAATCCTAGCAAAACCGAAGTTTTGACATTTAAATTCGAGATATGTCAAAAATTCTATATACCTTTCTATATACCTGACTAGGGTTTCTTAATGGAATTTTTTATAATGTTGTTTTATAAATTTTTATATTTAGACCAATTATGACAGAGTCAATAGGACAATTAGAATTAAAAGAATTGATGTTTTATTTTTATTTTGCAGCATTAAAGAGGAAACAAAATAGAATTATACCTATATGCGTATAAGTTTATAGATACAAAATTCTAGACAACATGACAGTCACGAGAGCGAAGCACTATATTTATAGATCTTCTCTTATTAGTTACTTATAAAAATTAACTCGTTAACTGAAGGAAATATTAATTTCTTCTTTTAAAAAATTTCTTAAAATAAGTTTTTATATGTCTTTGCATGAATTTGTATGCCAGTGTTTAATGTTTAATTCATGATTTTTCTTGTAAAATGTTACTAATGTCATTATTTACCATGAATTATAAATTATTTATTGAGTGTATCAAGTACTGTTGCTAAACATGTATCAATGGGTATTACATAATTAAAATAAAAATGGAGTTTGGAATTATTAGAATTATTAGAATAATTATTAGGTTAGAATAAGTATTAGATTAATGATCACGATTACTATCTTTACTATTTAATCATTCATTGCGATTACAAAGTAATTGTTTACTGCTCAATTCTGGGTTGAATATAGGCGTATAGAGTGGAGTTTGCAATGTACAGTTTGATGAATAAAATTTTAGCAATTTCAGTTCTTAGAACTTATTTTGGATGATATAGCGGCCACTTGTTATATTTGGTGTCTAAGTGATTGGCCACACTTGGCAAGTCGCTCTAGTTGAAAAAGCTTGCTTGTTGGATATATGAGGGAGTGTTAAGATTAATTATGCTAGTTTGATACAGTATTTTATTACAGGTTTCTATATGAGTCGATTATCTACGGTGACAGTTAAATATATACTTGATTTTCGAAGCCCATGGTATTTTTGGTCTTATGATTTCTATGGCTTTGTTACGCTTCTTGGATTTTCCGATGAAAGTGATTTACCTATCCTATCTTGCTCGAATTTATTTGTAATTTCCAATTTGTGAAGAATACATTATTTTGGATATTTTTGTAGATATTTAGTTGCTTGATTCAGGAATCACGATTACGGATAAATGACCAATTGATTGTTGTGATAGGATAACATATCGTTAATGTACAACCTACTTAATCTTATTTCGCTTATTTTTTATGACAGGAAAAAGCATCAGAAGAGAAAAGTACTTGGTTCAAAAGAGCAAATGTGACGATAGGCAAAAAGAATTTTTCAAGATCATTCTCTTTAAAGTCATTGAATACAAAAACAATCAATGAAAATAATGAAACGACGAAAATAGAATGATTATTGAAGGAAACAAATATTCATATGTTTATTTGAAACAAATGTTCAAATGTTTATTTTAACAAATATTCATAATGATGTCCATCAATTTTAATATATTTCTTAAAATAACTATCATAATAACGACTTTCTATCGTTTCTTACAATTTCCTTATTGATATCAGCACGTGCTATTTTAATATAATCTTTTGTATTTTCCGGTGTTGTTAGAACGTCGTCATAAACTGTTGATTTAATTTTACTCCAGAGAAGAGAGGAGTTAGATTTGTCGAACGTGCAAACCATCAAACATTTGAGCGAGTTACATTTAGAGCCGGACATTCGTCATGTTGAAATCACATTTGAAATTCTTGAGATATCGAAATATCTTCCAACAATCCAAATAGGTTCATCAATCATAAAACTTTCATATTTTTGGCAATTTAATCAGTAAAAAATGGTCCAATAATGTTATTACGAATAACACAATTTATATTCCATAGACCTGGCGAATTCTTAGTATACCGAATACTTAGTACATTTCAAACTTTTAGGATACTAATAATGCATATTTATTATAATAGGATGACGCATGTCACCTATTCATTAACCCTTTGGGTACCGAATTAATCTGAATAAATTTTCTCGTGAATCCGATTTTATTTTTTACTTTATGCTTAATAAATTCAACTACTAAAAAATTCATCTACTTCCATAAAGTGTATGACATAATATTAGACATTTTTTCAAATTGTAAAAATTTATTTATTTAAAAAACTCAAAAAATAACAATATGCATAATTATTAAGGGTTCTTAAGAGAGTGATATTTTTCAAAGCACATTACTATGATCAAAATTATCGTTATCACTTTTACATGACACATTTTCTGCTATTAGTATTTTGGGATTTCATAGACAAGGTACAACAAAATATTTTTGTGTAATAATTCAAGTAATTTAGAGTGTAATTTAAAATGTAATAATTTTGTCTAATGTTTTTATTTTGTCACCGATAATGATTCTTGTATTGTGTTGACACCTTGACACTTCATTGCAATTAACCCGAGCATTATAAGCACATTATACAAAGCACTGTATAAATGGTTTTTTGCTCTTGTATGTTTCTTAAAAGTTTCTTAAAAAGTTTTCTAGTTATCTGGCCTTTCAACTTTAGATGAACAAAGTTTAAATGTTACTTCCTGATATACATCACAAATGTAAATAAAAAATACAAATACATCAAATCGAAATTTGTAAGAATTCTGAGCAATTTTTTTGAACCTAGATTCTTTCTTCGATTGCATCTAAATTCTTGTGAATAAGAATTTTAGATTAAGATAATTTTTTTAATCGAGCTGTTTATTTTAAAAGTGGCACAAGTCATTTTTTGACTTTTCAATAAGTGACTTCCTATAAAGTCACTTTTTAAAAAGTGAAGTTAGTAATTAGATTAATTAAAATTTTACATGATCTTCTTATTTTAATTTACAATCAATATGTTAAAAACCAGTGAAATTTTCTTGATAAAAGTTTGGATATAATTAGAGAAATGATAAAAATGCTTATTTTTAAAATGGCACAAATAACTTTACAGTAATGAAAAATAGCAATTCGTTAATGTCAGTTGGCTAAAAATTCTGTGAATAAGATTTCATCGTGATATCTCTTACAAAATGTTTCACAAAAGCAGAATTTCTAATTTGGACTTGTCATCAAAGAAAAGAAAACCAAGATATTATTCATAAATAAAAATGGAGCTTTTATGCGCAGGTGTTTGTCCTGTTACTATAGCAAAATATAAAGATATGATAGAT